CTTCATATTTAATACTAATAAATTCCATTCTTTCCATTCTTTCTTCAGTTTATTAAAATAGACAGAAAATAAAGCGATTAAAATATCATTCCTATCTAAATAGATTTGGATATTCTTTTAGTTTCCTTGTATTACTTATTTAACTTACTTTCATTAAATATAAAAGTATAGTAGCGACGATGTCGTATTTCATGAATGACAATGTATCTCTTAATAAATGTTTCTGATGATAAAACAAACTATGTACTTGCCATGAAATTAAGCCAATTTCATACGTTACTGTACATCGAGAAAACCAGAGAGGCTAATCACGGACAGAATGAGTCATTCGATATCGCAGACCAGTCATTTGGTCAGTGTCGCAAAACTAATGACACATAATGATGCCCGAGCTGGCGGCCAGGGGGACTGAGTTGTGCCCGATTACAAACGTTACGAAGTTAGACAAGAAACAACTCTATTACGTAGAGTGAAGAGTTACAACGTAGGAACAGACATCAATCAGAGTCTACTAGTTGGTCTCCCTGGGAGGTCTGGCCCGTTTGGGTGCACTCGCGGCTGCCGGTAACCACTTGACCGCCCTATAGCCACAGCTAATTGCAGTTCTGTAACAATACGATACAATATTCTGATATGTATTAGGATTTGCCAAGTAACCATCCATAATACACATAGCATGTCGCTAATAGCTAAAAATAGAAAATATCCGTGTCAATGACTAACGGAATGGTTCTGATTGAGTAGTATCAGGTTGCTGGCATGCTCTATTAAAAATATGAACGTCCATTAACACCATTCGCTCATATATTCCGCTACTTTTCCCCTTTATTAAGGAAGCAAATTTAATTCAGTAATAGATAATCAACAAAGATACGCTTGATAAACAAGTAGTTGAAACTTTTACTCACTTGATAGATATGATTGGAATCTCTTAGGATAGAAGCTCAAATCAAATTTCTAAAAACGTAATAATCAAAGATACCAAAAACTGTAAATACGAATTTTTTTTAAATGAGAACTACCTACTACGAGTACATTGCGTCCTACCAATTAAAAGAATAAATAAATAAAATTAAGAATCCACAGATACCTGAAACATATCGAGGCGATTTGTAATTCATAGTAGTTGTAACATATTTATATTCTAATTATATTTTTAGTAAAGTACTTTAATGTAATAACACAAGTCATCTATTTTATTACATGTTATTTTGTTATTTATCTAATGTACTTTTACCGCAATCGAAAGCAAACTTTCATAGGTATGTAATAGAAATAATTTATCACGCTACGCTATGACTACTGCATTCATGATCTGCCAAAGAATTATAATGATTAATAGAATGCAGTCACACAAATGTTAAATGCAACCATGTATCTAAATTCATATATATGTACTTACTAGAATTTTATTAATGGCTATCATCTAGAAATAAAAATCTAAAATAATAGCTAATTCCAATTAAAAAATTATACTATATTCATAAAAAAATATATAATCATATTAAAAAATTATACTGGAAAATATACTATAAAATTATATTATATATATGTAATTAATGATACTTTAATTACATATATATAATATTGGACTAACTTTGGCTAATTTATTTGTATTATAGTACCTACATAGAGTCCCGGTCATAATAACTTGTCATATAAAATCTCAGAACTTTTTTAACTCATAGAGTAGCGAGATTTAGCATACCTATTGGAATATTGGATTGGCATGAAATATATAAGTTCTCGCTTATTTTTGTCGATAGTTTTTTTTTTTTTGTTTTATAACTTTACTTTTTAAATATTTCCATAATTTCCGTATTAAATGTAACATATTTTTTATATTTTTTTGGATTTCGTACTAAAACGTTAAACAGGCATCGATGTAAAGGATTAGTAGCTCTAATGCTATTAATTTTAAATTTGGAATAGTTTTAGATATTGTTTACCCATTCAATTGCAATTATATAATTTAAAAAATATATTTTATTTGCCAGTGGATGCAAAACGGTCGCTAAAAATTTCGAAAACAGCTCACAATTTTACTAAAATGGACATTCTAAAATCTATTTTTATGCCCTGTAATTTTCGACTATTTCCGAAAATATTAACAAAAATACTAGTATTTGTATTACTTGTTTATAAACAATTCATAAAAATAAGTTCCTCGAATATGAATACGCAAAACTGGTTCACTGCATTTCAACCGTGGCCGAGCCCCTGTCCCACTGCACTGGTTGCGTAGGTAATTGGCGCACGCGCATCGTGTAATACAAGCCAACCTGTACTACATTATGACATAATACACTCAGATGCATCTAATGAAATGTATTTTTTTTATAGGTGAAAATGGTATGGTAATGGTAACTCCGCCTGCGCTAATGGGATACGCTGGCGGAGCACCAGTGAAGGGTGATAGATGAGAATAAAAACAGGTCAGTTATCCCATCATGAGAAATTCATCAGGAGTTTACCATGATAGTTTTCAGGGGGAACCGCGAGGAGGTCGACCTGGTTGGGTATATTGCTAGCAATGGGATTCTCAGTCTCCATTACTAACAATCCCTTTCCCCCCGAAATGTATATACCTAAGTATCCCAGTACCTTTATATTGCTGGAGTAAAAATATCCACGTCTTTTCATCCACAAAAAGTCGTAAGAGGAGATTATTAATAAATCTTAAAATAAATAATTGTGGCTGTGAATTTACAGGGTACAGAGGAATAACACCGAAGTCTTTAGAAATGACAACTAATGGGAGTCATCATGGATGCAACAGTATACTCTGTTATGTCTATGGTACTGTTCATATCTATAGGCGACGGTTACCACTTTCCATCAGATGGGCCGTCAGCTTGTTTGCCATTCTAAGTTGCAAAAAGAAAAGACCAAAGGAATAAAACGGAATACACTAGTGCAAAATAAAGTAAACTAGAAATAAAACTATATACCAATCCACCTGGCCAGTTGGTCAGCATGGTAATATTAGGCTTAATATTATACTTTTCTTACGAGGAATGAAACTCCTTTGGGTCGTTAAAATAAGATCATAGTAATTATTTAAACGAGAATTTAAAGACATTGCTGTATGAAGCATACTATAATTAAAATTAAAATTCCTAAGTTCTTAAAAGAAGTTTCAATAAAAAATAGAAATCGGAATTACAAATACATACGATTCAATTTAAAATTCACTTTAGATTCAATAATTCCATTACAAACAAGCGCGTGCGATTGATATTAGTTACTTTCACTACATTACCTACACTTAAATCAAAGCTAACATTTTGCTCAGAAAAAAGTATATACGTGCACGTCGGCATTGTGTGTAGAAAAATATTATCCACGTAAGTATAGTTTACGGAGCGTAAATAGTACAGCTATAACAAACTCATTTTTTTGTCATTAGTTAAATGCAAAAAAAAACTGTCTTATTTTTAAGGACAAGGTATATTAATTAAGTTAAAAAAGAAGCGAGTACTTTACGCAATATTTACACATACACACACGTGACACACATGTCACAGCGAAATTAAAATATTAGGTATTTCATGAAATATCTGAATTTATATCTGATTCCAATATTTTTATTAATTAATTTTACAATAAACTAGATAAATGAACGGAGACTAATTTCAGTCTTGAAATACGATATTGTTACAATATTAGTGATGAGACATTACTCAGAGTCGATCGTGACCGACTAGTTGATGCGCCTGAATATTGTATTACAAAATATTAAATATTGTAAGAATGATATTGCATCTTCTTCTTGTAAAAAAAATCTAGTAAAAATACAAAACTGTAATGTTTTTACTCACACATCATTTTACTAAACTAAATATAGTAAATTAAAGAAAGTATCATTATACTTTTTTATTGTGAATCTTTTGCCCTTCTTTGCATAATGGTAGAAATTTCTATCATAACATTGAATGCCCAAAAATTATATTATATAAAAGAACAATTTCACTTTAAGTTGATCGTGTCTGGATACCTTTTAATGTCAATTGCAGAAAAAAAACCATAGCTGTCAAATTTATGTTTTAAGCATTTTTCCTTTAATTTTGAACATCAATTATTTCACCAATAAAAAAATCATGCAAAGAAGGGATAAAAAGTCCGATTACCTCCTTTTTGTATAGAGTATTTGTGTTATCCTAGTCCTTTCTCGCGACATAAATGGAGAAAACCTAGATGAGCCCTAACCCTTCTCCATTCCAAATATATCTTTCATAACAACCTCACCTTTAATAAAACCAGAGAGACTTGTACTTGTTATATTGTATCATTATATACGTATAAGTATTTAATAACCTATTTTTTTTTTTTTATATTTATTATCATATTTCCGTAGCAACAGTTTATACATAATTGACTAAAATATTTTGCAAACAAGATATTTTTTCAATTAATAGTGTTTACTATACTCGTATTTGTATTTTATTGCTTCCATATGAAATCAGTAACGATTGAAGTCGCTATTTTTAAATTATAAATTATTCTTTCTTTATTCTTTATTAAATTATACACCTAATATCGTACAAAACAAAAAATCCTTTACAACATGAGCTTTTGCTTGCGGCCCGGCAGCATGTTCGAAGATACAAATGAAATTGATGAACTTTTCTCGCAGCAATAATGGCTTTGGCACGTACCAACATAATTCCCGGCAAAACTTCCTCACAGAACCCCACCCGTTGTTAGGGTTGTACACAACAGTTTACAAATATATCATAAATAATACATAAATAAAAATAAATAACTACATATCCCTAGTACCTATATCCATGAAAACATTCTATATTTTATCAATTATATACTTTCTGCTAATATGTGAGTTACCATTATATATTCAAGAATATATAAAAGTAACCCGGCTTGCACTATTATTTTACACTGACAAAATACCAGTGAGAAACGAAAAGTGAGGATAAAATCGAATCAATTTTAATTGAAATCAACTAGAAATTGTCCATGATTATTTCCAGGGTTAATCACATGGAGATCAACCTAACAAGAGTATATTGCTAGTGATGAAACCACCAGTAACACCAACTATAGACTTTTATCTTAAGGTTTTGTCAAAGACGTGACGATAAGATTCTACGAAGTTTTCCAAAAGTCCGACTTGAATACGAGTACAGCCAATATTCAAGAAAAAAGAAAAAATTACAAAAAAACAGCAGAGGTAGACATCTCTTCGCTTCTTTCGTGATGATACTATCAAAAATAACCATTATCTATTAACTATTTTGGATAATCATATAAGAAATAGTTAAACAACTTTCATTAATATTTCTGCAATGAGCACTTCAAACTTCAAATCTGTCAAAATTTATATAGGACCTTTATGTAATCAACACAGAAGTAATTTTCTATATCCCTATATTAATTGCAAACATAATATACACGAAAAAGCAACGAATCAGAAATATGTACTGTTTTATTTTCATTTTTCAGGAATGAACAACCCTGTACTGAGGGACAGTGGACGGTAACGCGCGGGCGAAGAAGGGAGCGGAAGCACCCACATCCAATATAAGAGAGAGCAAAATAGGTTTATGTCGGATACTTTGACCATTCGCCCGTGAAGTAACTTTGCTATAGGTACGACTGGCGTGACGGCCAACTCATATCCAACACTCGTGTTTCCTTTACAAAAACATTCTGTTGTAAAAACACCTTGAATCAAATCACACACAAAACACAAATCCAGCAAAATAAATTTTTAAAGTACCCATGTTTATATAATATATCCTTAATACACATATTATTTCGACAAAATAAGTGTTCAAGCTCAAAGGTTAATATTACATCCACTGATTAAATACTAAATTGTCTATGTCTTCATTATATATTTCTAACGTTATGGTGAATAACTACCAACTAATACGGAGCACCTATTACGATAAGCATGAACAACTCACTAGCTACGTATTAGACGAAGAAAATCTATTTAATATGCGTAATAAATTAATAATTTGAGGAAACTCGTAAACTAATCTAATTCGAGACGCAGACAGCCATAAACTATTGAAGATTCGAGATAGGTGTGGACACGACACCTATTTTGGTTTGTATGTAATATTAGGTAGGTACGGCTTAGCTAATGCACTTTATGGACAGTCACTTTGTCTCGTGGGAATCCTCTAAACATTCATCTATAATATATATAAGTATATATCCAATTATCAGTGAATATAGTTGTCTTTTGGGAGACAGGTATGTTTTAAATAAATAATATCAATATAGTGTTATAATTCCACTATGCTACGTGTGATTATTTTTCTAAATAAAAATAAGACAGTAGTACTTTTATCTGTAACTTACATAGGTACGCTCCTCATTTGTCAATGATCATGTAATCATAGCTATGGCACTCCTAAACATGTTTTTAATACTGCCAGAACTGGATTCAACCCAATTATTTCCATTTTTAATTTTATTATTATATCAGCCATTACCTGATGACTACTGAACATACCCGTCCCCCTTAAAGGGGTTTTACCAGTAGTTGCTACGCTTGGCAAAAGGGGTGACAACCGCAGTTACACTTAGGTGATATTTTAAAATGGAAGCTGCTGCCCATCCCTCGATTATTAAGTTCCCTTTGTCGCCTCTTATTTTTTACATTAATATTAAAGAAAAAACCTTCTTTGAATCATTTTTATTACCATACTAAAGTGATCTACACCTTATCTCAAAATACTTGGAACGACAATTAAGCTGACGGCCCACCTAATGGAAAATGGTAACCGTCATCTATAGACATGAGCAGCACCATGGACATAACAGAGTATACTGTTTCGCCCATTCCGGAGGGCTCAGGTGTTATTCCTCTGTACTCTGTAAATTAACTGGCATATCCCACCCTTTAAACCGAAACACAGCCATGCAAACACAACTGCTTCATGGTAGAAACATGAATGCGTGCCCAAGCAAATTACTTTTGTACAAAGTCTCCCTCTGGTAAATGTCTTACATATTTACAATAAATATCTACCTGTGTACTATATGATAATGCAATGTAATATAACTTTCAAGATAGCAAAACTAAAAGACTACCAATCAATGAACGTGGAAATAGAAAGACTAATCAAGTGTCAGTATTCCTAGAGCAGAAATGTAGCCAACGTGACCGCCAGCGCACCGCTTAATCAGCGCCGAGCCGCCCGCCCTATATTTGCGTATGCAAAGAGACAGTAGCCGCATTAACGATGCCATATAGCAAGCGTAGCGTGCAGCGATTGGGCAAACACATATCTGCATTATAAACAGCATCCGGGCTCACAAACGCGCGCTGTGGTCGCCCTTTACTGGTGGACGGCTAATCAACGAGCTGACCTTCCGCTGCCGAACAAACGTTCCACCACTATTTCTCCGCTACCGTGGAAAATTCAATCTAACTCGGTTACATGAAACCTTTATGAACACCCCCGATATTAAAAATGTCTTAATATCTCTACAGTAAATAAGTAAAATGCATTATGTATCAAATATTGAAACAAAAAATCATAATCCAAGTGCATACGTGTTCCAACTGCATGCGTGTATGTGCAGTGAATTGATCAAAACTTTCTACTTTCCACGTTCGAACCCGTTGCACCTACATTAACGGAAAATCTCAACACATTTTATGGTCCTCTCCAACAGAGCGTATAAAGAAAGCGGTCTAATATTGTAATTAGATAATTCAATACTATCTATTTAGCAGAATCAATAACGCGCTATCAATAAATTATAATATAAGCTAAAGCGTTTTGTCGTCAAAAATATTCATATACTTCTTTTTTTATTATAAACGTAATATGACTGAAATTATGCATACGTAAGACTACGGTATACAATTTTAACACATGAGTGAGTATACTAAGTGAGTAATATAAACATACTAGGTATCCGCTGATAAGAAATTCATAACTGTAGGTGGATAATTAAAGTAAAAAATACTTATGCAAGTTATAGAGAAGGCTATGCTCGGAGTTTTCGGAGTTTTTCTTTCGTAACAGAATCCAAAATGAGGATATCCGCAAAAGAACCAAAGTGACTGACATAGCCCGAAAGATAAGCGAGCTGAAGTGGCGTGGACGTCACATAGCACGAAGTACCGACAACCGATGGGGAAGAAAGGTTTTTGAGTGGGGACCACGTACGGGAAAACGCAATGGACAACCCCCACTAGATGGATTCACGACCTCAAATGCATTGCAAAAAGCATCCCTTATGGATGTCTATGGGAGAGGATAGATAATGATTGATATGATCATGATGATGATGATGTATCTAAATTAATTTAAATACGGTTACTTCTTTCTCTATAAGGTGGGTCGTCAGTTTTCTTGTCATTCTGAATTAGATATAACTTGTCTTTCATGTTAATGGTTATTATTCTATTGACACTAATTAAAATAAAATACTATGGAAATGAAACTATATTCAGTGTAACATTTTTTATTACATCTTACATCACTTAATAAATTATATATTACATACAACCGTAGTCATAATTAAATAAATTACATTAAATAATTTACTGACATAGATTTAAAATTGAGAACGGACGACCGATTCGTCTAAGAAGGATGTCCACAATATGAACGGTACTTTGGTTTGAGGTTATTTTGTGTGTAGGATGCCGGCGCGGCGGAGTCATCCAATGTCATCACCAGATTCTGATGATTGCAGGAGGAGCCCGCGCCGTGTCTAGGCGACTCGAAGCGCCAAGGTTACGCGCTCGCGGTCGTCTGCTCCGAATAAAATCGGTAAGGATCCATTGCGCCGGGCTTCGCTTGCCTCACCACATACAGATTTCGCCTTCGAATTAAAGACTAGAATTAAAATATTTCAAATTAACAATAAAACAAATTAAGTAAATATTATTTCTATAAATCTTAACAAGCCACAGGAATTACTTCAAAAAGGTCAGAACCTTTCTAGGAAATATTCTGCAAGGTCTAATATTACCTAACTAATAACTTCACTTTTAGATTTAATTAAACCACACTTACCTATGGTGTCCATCTGCGTGTACTTGGAACGTTGTTTCGCCTTGGCTACCGTCATGACTAAATAGCTTTTTGAGAGCGATTATTCCAGCAATCGTCAAAGCCACCTTGCTGGCGATAAGGGCCTTGCCAGCAATTGCAGCCAAAGTCTTCAGAGCCATACCCCCTACTATGCTCAGAGTGGTGAAGATTCCAAGCAACAAATAGGGCATCACCTTCTTACCTACATAGAAATAGAGATATAAAAAAAAACTATTACTCTATTCCAAGATAAAACTGAAAAAATCTAACATAAAACGCCGCACATACCTCTGCCTCTACCTTCAGAGGTCAAATCCATTGAAATAGTGTGACTATTCATTAACTGCTCGAATTTAGTACGCAGCATAGTATCGAGCTTTTCTTCTGTTGACATACCAGAAAAGAAACGAGGCTCTGATATCGCAGAGGGCACATCAGCTTGTTTCACCAACGTTAACCCATCCGCGAGCTGCACGCTCTCCTGTACAACACAAGAAAATTTTATCATTCACTGATCGTAACACTAAAATAACCTTCACAAACAGATATAAACACTGTATTCACCATTTCGACTGCTCTTGTCAATGCTGTTAAAGCCTTGCCTTTAAGGCACATCGTAAACTGTTTCTTCTCACTGCAATCGTCATAAACTTTTTGTAAAACGCTAAATTCGGCCGTAGGCCACCAAGAGCCCTCATCGGATCTTCCGCTGTCTACTTCATTCTGTGCATAATCCTCTGTGTTCGTAACACGAGATCTTCTAGGTCCGTGTACATGACCGGAGGCGATGACCACACAGATAACTGACACGACGGCTATCCGGAATGAGCTGCACATGATTGTGTTATGTTACGATTTACACACACTTCACAAAAAAAAAACTAAATCAACGTGTACAAGGGTGTTCTAGCGGCAACTGACGGGCAGTGGAGCGGGTGAGAGCTTATAACTGTGTGCCACTTCGCCGTCGAGCACCACCAAACATCCGCTATTCCGCACTAATTCTCCACACGCGTACTTACGTAACTGAACTTGAAAATGATCGAGAACCATTTTCCAAGTGAATTTCTCCGATAAAATGTACGGCAAAAAGCGAGACACATATCTGTTGCCGATTCCACCGTGTATTGGTCTTCATGTTTAGCTACGTGTGTGTGAAAAGCATAATTACAGATGAGTTTGCGTGCGCATTGAGGACCATTCAGTCCCACATTTCACTCACGGACGACCGGTTTTAATATATTAGTTGGTTGTGTAAATTTCAGCAAAAATCAATTCATGCCTTATCGGCGTGCGCGCATGGTCGAAGGTAGGTTTTCTTGTATTTCAGGTAGGTCGTACCCTGAGGATAGAGGTGCAGTCACGATTAGCCATTCTTTTACTCATTATAAACAGGAACTTTACTACAAAAGGAAAGTAAAAGCGGTACTCAGGCGTAACGGCAGAAAATGTTCATTAATTAAATATAATTGATACTTATATACCCCCCCAGTATAAACAATATTAAAGATAAGCTAAATTAACTCAATAATCAGAAGCTAATAATAACAACTTAGCATAGTTTATCTGATTAAAAAATTTAGATGCAGTCCTACTTAATTACCCATAATATCTAACGCCTAATAAGTATCAATGAAGTGCACTGTGTATATCTGGTACAAATTATAATGATCAAACCACTTACCATAACTATGAAAAATCTGGTAGCACCACAAATATTGTACAAAGATTCATGAAATATCAAAAAATAAATAATTCTACTCGTAATTATGAATATATACTCTACATTTTAAATAAATAATTTTGGTTGTCTATACATTAAATATGTCATTAAAACAATGATTCTGCTTCTTTTTTTTTATAACATGGTCGCTTCTTCATTATAACGCTCCCATTGCTAGCAACATACCGTATTAAATCAATGTCCACGTGATTCTCTCTGGAAAGCATTGTGGATAATTCTTATTAAATTCGCTACGATGGGCCAAATGAACTGCTTTCATACTCACCTATTCATTCACCATTGCACACAATTACCATTTTTTTATGTATGATAACGGAATAGTTATATGCGATATACGCTATGCGCTGACAGGCCACCAGTGAGGGATGATAGGTGAGGACGAAAATAGGTCGCCTTACTTAGTCAAGAATTAAATACAATACTTTCTAAGAGCAATGGGTTTGCTAGTGCATATTACTAAAAATCCCATTCTAACTTAGCGGATATCACATTCTGTTGTCATCAATAAAAAAAGGACTCATAATTAATACAAAGGCACAAGATTGTAGGATTATCGGGCTCATCACTAATTTTATAATAATAATAAAATTTATTCTATTACAAATATGTATGTATATTTGTACTACGTCCGCTTGACCGTAATATATTGATTAATCGGTAAAAAAGTAGCATTTGTCATATTCGTCATCTCAAATACTATAAGTCCTCTTTCATGACAATTGGTTGAGCGATTAAGAGACTAAGGTAATAAATAAACATTTACATTTATAATAACGATAAGGATATTCCTATTATTACTATATACCTATAAGAAAACTTAAAATTATTGCTAAACATAGCAATAAAAAATTTTGAAGTGTCTATAATTTCTTTAACGTCATGGAAACAAACTTTAAGAAAATCACCTAATTACTTGTTATGCTTTCTTAATATTCCTTGTATTATAGAAAAAGTCTGTGAATGAAACAGACATATATATAATTAAAGATTGTGTCCCAAAAGACATCAATTGTGACAAAACAAAATTTTAATCTAAAAACTAAACTACTGAACCGATTTTGATAAAATTTCTATAGGACCAATATGATATATATATATATATATATATATATATATATATATATATATATATATATCCTTTCAGATATAAAAAAAAATTTCCAAGTTGGTAATTTTCAAAATAGAAATGACAAAGTTATGAGGTAACAAACATAAAAAAATACAACCGAATTGAGAACCGCCTCCTTTTGGAAATCGAGTAAAAAAACTTAAAAGACCTTATTTTTGTATTGATATAACAAAATACATAATTTTTATTAACTACTATATCACTTTAGGCTTTTTTTTTATTTGTGTGCATGTTCAATTAATTAAATATTGATTATACTTATTATTGATTATACCAAATTTCCTGTAATAAGTTGTACTTGTTTTTTGTTACATAACTCTACAAGTGTACTCTAATAGTAACAGGAAAATATTTATTTTGTTTTATCCTATTTTTTTACTAAAGAAAAATTAACAGCTCGAAAATTTCATAATAAAAAAAAACAGTAAAGACAAAAGCCAGTTACTGATTTTTACAAATAAAAACAAGATTTAACTAATGCACATAATGTCATTAATACTTATAATCAACTAAATTAAATTTAAAGTAATTACATTATAGATATACAAACATTATAAATAGGCAGTTACGGAAAGTAAAAAGTTGAAATCACACGTTCAAAGATGAACCAAAGAACCACTGACTCAGCCCACGTCTTGCGGAATCTATCTTGGAATTAAATAAATCTAAATCGAGATCTGTAGGTATTTTATTAAAATTATCGTTTACACGCCTGATATATGATTTTTTTCTATAGTCAGTGGAAACAAATGGAAGTTGTACTAAAGTTATCTATTTATAACCTGTTAAATACATTGTATTATTGTAAACATTGTACGAGTATAAGTACCGTTCGGTACTCAGGTATCCACGCTTTATATTCTGATAGCTACAGAACTCCAGACATTAAGTCTGCTACCTCGATGTTCGGTCATGATGGTGCATTACCATTTTACTATAAATATAATAAATCTTATCTTCCCAATATAATAAAACTGTAACTAGACGACGTCTGTGCATAGATAATATAGAGGGAACAATTAAAAACTATGTTCCAAAAAAACCGACTTCAATTGTGCCAAAACCGGATACTTTGCTTTTAAAACCAGTAAATTAATGAAACAGATTTTGATGAAATCTATGAGTCCAATTTGTAAATATATTTCAGATAAAAAAATAATTTTCTCGGAGGTAATAAAAATAAAAAAATACAACCATATTGAGAACCTCCTTCTTTTTTATGTCGGTTGAAAATGAGATGAGTGATCACAATAAGAGCAATACTCGAAAAGAAAAACAATATTTTCTATAATTTTTGTCCCTATACTATATATACAGGTAGATATTCAGTTCACAGACAATTATTTTGTTTTAGCTAATGACGCTAAAGCTACTGCACTAAATGATGTTCACAGTTTTATTCGCGATTCATACATGTATCTATCTTGGTTCTCTATAAATCTTAAAAGAAATTACAAAAAACCTCGAATGTGATGAAGTGATGATCTCGACCGTTTCCACAAAACCTGGTACGCCTTTGCCAGCGACCGTGGAAGTAGAAACAATTGGAACAGTCTTTTGCCCAATAGTGGAAAACTGTAGTCGTTGAATAAATAAATGAGTGATGTGTCTGTGATTACCGTTTTTAGAGCGTAATCATTTTAAAACAATTACCTACTGCTTCAAATAATTTGGACTAATAAGAATAAGTACTACTACAATTTCCTGTAAGTTTTACTTTAGCATCTCAATCTATTAAGGCAGATAACAGTAATTGCTACCTTAGCAGAGTATGGCTTAAACCTAACATCAAATTAATAGTAGTATATTAAAAAGTATTTTAATAAAAGTTAACTTATTACTTAATTAAATATGATATAGTATATGATAATTAAATATCACAATGCGTTTATAAATAATTGAACAATTTTTAAATAATTAATGATTTTATGTCTATGCACAAATTATACAGCATAGGTATAGTAAAGAAAAAACTTTATTTAAATAGAAGTTAAATCGTTACCATAAAGTTAAGATATCAACAATTTTTTACAATTATTAACTATGAATAGATTAAGTTAAATTTAGAAAAGTTAATAGTAGAATATTATAAATTTACCTAGTATTAAATGTCCTGAATAAAAGAAAATAAAAATAAAGTCACAATATAAAGTACAGTGTATTTTTTGATTAAATATTCAAATAAAAATATTTTTCGTTTAACACCAATTGGTTACTTTTAAATTTACCTAAATTAATAAGTTAACTCTGCGTATACTTACATAAGTATGAAAGAACATTAGAATGATGGACATTAGTCAAAAAATAATGATAAGACACAAATGTATTTTTTGCAATAGAGTTGGTTACAAAGTCTTCTATTGCAAGATGTGTTTAGAAAAGCACCGAAATCTAATACAATTACATCAGAGAAGTTGCACGTCCTAAATTTAACGTGAATATATACTAAGAAAGAAAAGAAAAAAAAATTCATTAGCAATTTGCTTGTTCATTTCCAGACTATATGTCAATTATGTTTTTTTTAATCGATGAAATTGGAACCCTGCCGAGCTATCACCAAACGCCGGCGAAGCAGGGGGGAAAGAGATTGTAAATAATGGAGACTGAGAATCCCATTGCTAGCAATATACCCAACCAGGTCGACCTCCATGCAGTTCCCCCTAGAAACTATCATGGTTAATTACTGATGAATTCATCATGATGAGCTAACTGGCCTGTTTTCATTCTCATCTATCACCCTTCACTGGTGCTCTGCCAGCGTATCCCGTTAGCGCAGGCGGCTATACCTACATAAAAAGTCAGTTGTATCTATAGATTTCATTATTGAATTTTATACTGATGCCCCACCAGCATATACCGATGGCGCAAGCGGGGTTACAATTCTATTTTAACCCTTATTTGGTTTTTGATTGTTACCTTTTAACGCCTTCACAGCTTAATGAATCACTATAAAATTTAGTATACACGCATTGTATGGGATGAAGAAGGATATATGCTACTTTTTATCCCGATTAGTAAACATATCCCGCAAATTACATAATATGCAATTTTATCAGTATATCAATTAAATAATCGTTTAAAGAACACTAATTTGTTACGTATAAACTGCATAGATTAAGAATAGTACCTGTCTTCCAAAACTGTTACCATTGTTTTTGATTGTCACTGTCAGAATGACACAAAATTCACATCGTGACATGGACAAACAATATAGTTAAGAATTATACTTATTTTGCTTATTTACTCTTCCCTATTATTCGTTCAGCATAGTGCCTAATAATTATTTTTAAATGTATTTTTGTGATTTAAGGGTGTGCCTATAATATGTATACTCAAAATTTTAACTGTATCTAACAACATCTAAGTATTATTAACATACATAAGCAACTGACCGTGTTGAAAGATGAAAGAGGAAGAACTTAGTTTTATGGGGACTGACCCTGGAGCCGTAAAATATGGAAATTTCATCAATTATTATTCCTTTCACAGTGCTAAACAAAGAATCGAAAACCTCCATCCAAATATGTTCCCCTCGCTATCTCCAAATGAACCACTACTATGTTTAGATATCGGTTGTAACACAGGTGAACTTACACAGGAACTGTATTTATACCTAAAAACGATTTATACAAATAAAATACATATCCTAGCTATTGATATTGACCACAATTTAATACAAAGAGCTCACGAGACTAACATCAATACCAATATATCATTTGCTGCTTTAAATGTAATGAATGAAACAAAATATGAAATTATCAAGAAATTTTTAACCCATCATAAAAGGAAATTATTTGATATAATATTTTGTTTCTCTGTTACAATGTGGATACACCTTAATAATGGAGATGAGGGTTTAAAGAAATTTCTAGGTATTTTAAAAGAATGTTCTAGGTCAGTTATTATTGAACCACAACCATGGAGCTGCTATAGAAATGCACAAAGACGCATAAAAAAATCTGGTGGCAACTTTCCTTTATATGAAAAATTAAAAATAAGGTCAAATGTTGAGTTGACAATTGAACAAATTTTGACAGAAAAAAGCTATAAAAAAATTTATGAATCTACAAATTCATCATGGAATAGAAAAATCAAAAGTTTCCAGATTGATAGTTGACTTTGAACAAAGAAGATACCTTTATATACAATATTTATGTATACCATTTAATCAAATATAATAAACATGTTGAAATTAATACAAAATAAGGATATATTATAAAGAAATAAGTTCTTATATTTATTTGTACATAGATATATTTTATAAACACTACTAAAGTAATCTCGACATACAATGGGATTGATAATGAGGCACCATTTCTCGAGAATTATCACTTAAAATTTTAATTTGATATCACTGCTAAATCTTTATTCTGTGGTTCAATATGAATTAAATTTCTAATAAATTTAAGTCAAATTATTATAAACCTAATTTGTGATAGTCAAAAATGGTAATTTAGCAAAACTTCTAAATTAAAATTATAGATTAAAGGATAAGTTTAGAGAAATGGTGCCTCAGAATGTTTTACAAAAATATTATTAATGTCTTTATACAATTTGACTATGTAGTGACTTCATCAGTACTGGCTTCAAACTCTAATTTAACATCATTGCCAAGTCCTTCTACATCCATTTCTGTTTCCTGGGCATTCAGCATATTAAGTGTCACCTGCAAATAATCAAAAACCAAATTCAAAAGTTATATATTATATTTAATTAATGGGGACAGCAGCCCTTGCTATAGAATTTAAGATTGGTTTAAAATTATAAATCTAGTTATAACTGAAATGAATTGTTTTGTGTGACAAATAAAAACAAGCAAATACCTAATTATACGAATATTGCTAATCCTAAGGTAAATCACAAACAGCAAGTGGATCACATCTTATTGTGCCTATACACCTATACTTAAAGATAGCATGGTTGAGATGTCTAGTTGATAGAATCGTAATCATCTGTAAACTTTTTTATAAGCTCTTTTAAATCATTATTTCTTTAGGATTCTATTGCTGGGTCCTGAATGTTGTTGTCAGCTGGTAAAAACTCAAGAAACTTAGTAGATACTCATTTTTCAATATATAAAATTGTATTTTGAAAAAATACAAAGCTAATGCCATGACCTAAACCTTAATAACTTTTTCCAATCAATAAGCTGCTGAACTATTTGTTATTTTCTGAAGAGTATAAAAGATTATTTATTATTTACATAATTAGTCCTATATTGTGTATATTATGTTGACCATGTTATTATCTCCATGGACATACTCTTTCTACCACACTATCAAATTTTACTGTGACCACCTTCTAAATTATTCTTTTTCTAGGTTGTATCCAGTGATATTGTTTCTTTAAATTTTTTTTTTTTTTGTCTACATATTACAATTTATAAAATAAGAAAGCAATATTTTTGCATCATTTAAAAATAAAAATTTGTATAAATAATGAACCTGTTGTAACATTGGTGCCGTATGTATATTATGTTGACCTTGTACAGATGGAGGACTATTTGCTGTTACTATTCGCTCTTCAGGAGCTTTCCTTTTTAGTGGAGTCTTTGACTGTGAACTGCAAATATAAAATTATTAAATGAACCAAACAAGACTGCCAAAATATCTAAAGAAAAAATATCCAAAAATATAAATATCCAAAGAAAAAAGCCTAATTTCACTGACAAAAAGTATTTTATGTATTATTGCAATAATTACCACTTAAAAATATGATTTTCTTAAAATAGAATTGTCATAATTATCCTAAAATCCTCTAATGCACTATCTCGCCACAATAGTTTGTACTTCTACCATAAGATCTACCTGCTATTATTGTAAACTAGACATGAACTTGATATTAAAATGATAACTTGTAACAGCTACAGAATTTGTGCATACATTTTACTTATGGACTTAGAAAATACAACCATGACTTCTCTTACAGAAGCACATTAAAATGACTCCCAATTTGTCAACATCGAGATTTTCTTCTTTAATCTTTCTTGTATTCTGTTCTATTTAATTTCTCCTCCCCATTTTATCTTTGTGATCGATTCAATTTCCTTGTCCCCACTGGCATGTCCAGTAGGTTGAGTAAGTCCCTTATTGTTAAAATCCCTCCTCATACCTCCTCATGCTACAGTGGATCATTTAAAGTTCATGTGGCTAGACCATGGAACTCTCTTCCACTGCATATTCATGAAACTTAATCACTGAATATATTCAAGAACCGATTAAAAGAACATCTTTTGTCCTCATAGAATGTATATGTACATATTTTGTATGTAGAGATATGTATGTATAAATGTATACAGATATGTATGTACTTTAATTTTAATTATATGAGTTACTTTGTATATATGTCAACATATTTATTATTTCTTAATAGGAACAACTATACTGTTTCCTTCTATTATTATATGCACACTGACTGTTGGTAATTAATGCTCCTTTCCACTCTGGGTTTGCTGGAAGAGAACTCTTACACAGTTAAGCTAGCCTGTCATACATCTTTATTTAATATATATTAAATGTTTGTAATTTTTTTGTATACAATAAAGTATAAATAAAAAAATATACTGTAAAATCGATACAAATTCAAATTTTAAGAATAAAAATCTCACATGTGAGCTACAAAACATCAACATCTTAGATTATGAAAGTCCCAAAAGACCTAAATTTTGAAGTATCAAATACTGTAACACCCTTACCTACCCTACGCCTCTGTACCCTGTAATTTCAGTTCTTGTTGAAGATTGCAACCTTCTTTACTTTAATTGCCATATATCCTTTTTATTTTATCAGTCACTGTTCTTCTTCAATGGGGCTTGCATTCCAGTATCCAAATATTATTCAAATAATTTTATACCCAGTTTTTTATAAATAAAATAAAGAAAATTTATTTAGTAAAATTAATTTGAACTGAAACATTACTTCTTTACAAAGTAATCAAGGTGACAAACCAAAAAATAAAAAACATTCTATTCGAAATGGCCACCTTTGGCTTTTATACAAGCTTTTAATCTAAAAGGTAAAATTTTGTTACTGCTTGCTCCAAAGATTTTTTTTAAGAGACTCAATGTATGTTGTTTATAGCAGGTCATGTCCTCTAAAACTGACCATTATTTGAAGTCTAAATAAAGGATTAAGTTCTGGGCTAGATGAAGGCCAATTTTCAGCTCTTATAAAGTCAAGTATGTTGGTTCTTTTTATTTCTGTACCTTTCACCTGTGTAATGCAACAAAAAGTGTTTTGACTGATCCATTCTCTTTAATTGTAAAAATTGATTTAGAGCATGTCCTGTATATTGATGATAAGCACAGAGCTTCAAGTCTTGTTTTATAATACACGACAGAGACCTATAGGAAATCTTCATTTCTCCTGAATTAAGGATTATTTAAATGAGATTTAAATACTATCCCAAAAAATATATATTTGAATATAAAAATTTTACAAATATTTGGAAGCCTTAGTGAACACTAATTCTTGGGTTAAACTATGACACCAGGTTAACTACTATTCCACTGCCTGAAAAAATTGTAAGTACTTTTTATTACCTTGCTGTAGTTGACTCTGCTATTGGATGTAGCATCATAGTCATTTCAGCTAATTTGTTGAATGCTGCTCCAGCTTCTGTAAATATTTCTCCAACCTGTAATTTATAAAAAATTGTGTGTTTAAGAATGCACGATAAGTAAATAAGTTTCTTTGAAAAAAAAATACACTAAAACCATCATATATTCTTATTTTAAAATATTAGATAAAAACATTCCTGGTATCCTATCTATATGTATACTTACTTTTGCTGCCGAATTATTCATATTGCTAGGTATTCCTGTCTTGGCATTTAAATATTAAATTTAAACTTTTATTAATCGCCACACCAAGTTACTGAAAAATACAGTATTTTTAATTAGATATAGGTGTAACATAAATATTGCTGTTCAAATAACGTTCATATTAAATAAACAAAATAATTTAGGTGCTTGATGATTAAATCCCACTTTTTTAATTACCTGATAATAATAAATAAAGCTTACACTTTAAAAAAATGCAAACAAAATCAAGCAAAATAAAACATTATACAAAATAAAAAGTGTCAACTTGAAGACGTTTTATAGTCGAAACAAACACAGAGTCACAGAACAAGTAATCACTGCATTATAAGAGTTGGCAGCTGCCGTATATCCACAATACCTGGAAAATGAAATGCATGTTATATTTTCCAAGTAACAACACAATGAAAATATAAAGAGAATAAACAAAGTAACCGTCTTATATATTCATAAAAATAATCAACACTTTAAAACCCCTAAATAACAAGGAAATACACACTATAACTCTGCAATAACTGTTCAATAGCGACGTCACATTTAAATAATCTATAAACCTGTAATAGCAAAAAGTGTTATTTGTAAACGCATTATAGCAAACGAATATTAAAACTATTTTTATTTTATAACGGAAAATTGCATACTACAAATATAATTAATTAATCGTTCATATTTTTAAGTACTATTTTTCTTTTTAATATATTTTTACTTACAATTTTAGTTTATATCGATAAATAGTAGAAACTATGGTAAAAATAGCACTAATGGATTTTATCTTAAAAGAATTGTAATAATTTTGTAAAATAATAAATTGTAGTAATATTGTATAATACTTAAATGGAATTGTAATATATAGGTACGTACATTCCTTAAATATAAATGTGTTTCTTTTCAGATGCTGTTTGTCTTTGCATAAAACCTCCGACAATTGTTTATTGCACTAAATTAACTGAATCGAATACAATTTACATTACTCATCTATAAAAAAAAAATATTATTTACAATTGAATTAAAGAAAAATAAAGTAACTAAATATAAGTACTCTTTTAATTGAAAATGTTTTTAATAGAATTAAAAAATTTTGCGTTATGAAATAACAAGATTTTTTATGACAACAATCGATATCGATATTTTACATAAAGGCATAAATAGATAGTAATATAACACTGTGAATATAATATTCATTTATTTCATTGTGCTGTTGTTTCGAAAAGGTAACATAAGTAAATTTTTCAAGTTTCGTGTCATTGTCAACGTAACAATTACCATAGTTTTGTAACATAGATTCTAAACTATGTCTATAAAGACAGTATCTGTGCTTACTTATCTGTAGTGATTACTTGATCTATTACATAGTTTTTCCTCTTCAAGCATTTTCATATTTGATGTCAATATTTGTTTACTAATTTTTCATGAATTAGTGTTATTAGATTATTTTAACCCATTAATAAATGAATATTACTGCTAATTCACCTTCGCATAAGAACAAGAATTGAGGTAAGTAACTTTCATAAAAAAATATTTAAATAAAATCCTAGCTATAATCCATTTAGTGACAATACTCTTTTCTTAACTTTTTTAAAAGGAATATAACTGTTAAGTAACAAAGTACAATACATAATAAGGAAAACAAGCAATAAATGCCATCCAACTGATCAGCGTGGTTATAATAGGTTATATTGTTTTATAGCGAAACCCCACAACCCATTAGTGAAATAGTAACTGATTTCTAAGGTGTGTAATCCAGCAGTCTAATCTCTAAACTCGAGAGGACTATTTATTTACAAAGTCCCAGCGTGTTCTTTTTGATGCCCACTAATTTTCAACAGTTTGCGCCAATCACCAAAGCAATCTTGTTGTCATGTCCATATGATAAATGAAAGTGAAGAAATTAAATGCTATATGTTAACAGTATTTATATTCATACCTATTTACATACCTACTTGAAATATTAACCTTTATGTTACATATTATAAAAATATTAAATACTAGCAGCCTGTCTCAACTTTGCATGGGTGGACATTTTTACAAAATTTTACACTTTCCAACATATCTTTTGAATCGAATATACCTACGATTTGAAAAATTCAAAAGTAAACTGCAGATATTGAAACAATTTTGAATACAAAATAATTTATTTGGATAAGGATTAATAAATAGGTATGTATAACATATACAATTTGACAGCCTTATTTTTTCTATTTCTATGACTTATTAAATTCGTAATATCTATTGAATGGAATAGCGGATTTGAACAATTCAAAAAGTAATTTACATAAATTGAAACAGTTTCGTTTAAAAAACAATATGATTAATTAGGATAAAGATTTAAACAGAAGTATGAATAACATGGTTTAATTTTGGTCAGTATTTCTATTAACTTTTAAAATGTATAAAAAGTGATTATTATAACATAATGATAATAGTTAGACATAAAGTATTGCGAAGTTTTTTGTAATTATTGATATTTTATTCAATATTGTACATACTTTTGTTTTATCACCAATAGTTACCGCAGCGCATGCGACGAAAGATATTTTATAGCATTTATTTACACCTTGAGTTACATTACTAAAGTTTTAGTAAGGATCCCGAATCTTTTCTAGCCATAAATATAGCCTATGTTACGGGTTAATGGTGAATGTAGCTTTCTAATGGTAAAAGAATTTTTTAAATCTGCAAAGTAGTTTTTGAGTTTATTCATTACAAACAAAACACACATTACACACACACAAAAGTACAAATCTTTCTTCTTTGTAATATTAGTGTAGATGTAGATAATACAAAAGTAAATAGATATAATAATATATTTATCATAATTTTAAATTTTGTTTTAGAAATTTGTATATAATGGCATTTTCATTTACACAACATGCTCCTCGACCATACATGGGTAACAAGTATCAAAGAGAAAAAAGCCACAACTTCCATTGGAAGCAAAATACTGGATCTAAATTAAATTATTCAGGAGAGAAAGGCTTTATCCAAAAACCTTTCAAAACTTCTGAAGAATTCTGGTGTGAGACCTGTGATCGGAGTTTTTATACTGCTGATTTATTAGAAAAACATAAAAAACAACATGAGGTAAGTACCTATTCATCTTTCATTATATCCTTCTATTGTCTTTCTTTATAAATATAAACAGTGAAGACAAACATAACAAAATGCCTCTATTCATTTTGTTATGGTAATTTATTACAAAAAGAATTGCTAGAATCAGTGAAAAAATCTTTTAACATTCACATGATAACAAAACCCATAAACTAAGAATCTTTTAAAAGTTATTTAAAAAGTTACTGTATTAGTTATACATGGTTATACCATCTGCACAAAAATGGACTGAGATCATTGGAGTATCAAAGCCACAAGATATTGTGGCTTTGATACTCCAATAAAGAACTCAGGAGAAATGATGAAGACAAACCAATCCTTGTCTGTACCACCAATAGAATCATCTAAGAAAATTAAATCTAGAATTATAGAATATGAGATGAATGATGAAAGTCTTAAGTTTGATACAGATGAATCAAATCAGTCATAATAAATAATTTATCAAACCAACGGAAAAAGTATATAAGTAATAAATAGTTATACACAGAGAAAATGAGCAGTGAAATGAACTTTATTAGGTAAATATATAATTAGTTAAAGTGTTATTATAGTTAAATAGTGTGTTTATTATTAGAAGAGCTTGGGGGGGGGGGGGGACATATGTCGTGTACTAAAGTGGGTATTTATTAGTATTATAAATCTTTCTTTTTTATCTTTTCATTAAATTTTGTATATGTTGATCAGTTGCTGGTTAAGGAACAAGGGTGTTACACTATCCTCATTCCTAAGCAGGAAAATTATTCTAATATTACAATGTTATTATATTATTGAGTTGACGTCAGGCAGGTGGCCAGTCCTAAAACTGTTAGCCAAATCTTTTTTAAATATGGATAAAAACATATTACGCCGAACCCAAATAATAATTGGGATAAGGATAGGAAGATGATATATACAATGTTATTATATTAGTGAAATGACAATAATATTTTTCAGAAATGTAACATTGATGGCTGCCAGTTTGTTGCACACCCTAAAGTAATTACAAAACACATACAAATGCAACATTCATCAGGGATATATAAAAAAATTGCAAACCTTAACAATCCAGAAGAAATAAAAAAATGGATAGAGGAAAGGAAGAAGAAATATCCCACTATGAATAATATTGAGAAAAAAGCAGCTCAAATGAAAGAAAAGATCGAAAGAGGTGAAAAAATGGGCCTGCGTAAGAATGAACACAACAGAAATATCAAACTAGGTAAATATTAATTTTTAACATATGTAGAGATACCATTACCAATGTTGTTTACTAAATGAAGACTACTTTGTTATTCACCTATAATACAAAGCAGTGGTCATTTAGTATTGACACTGCTGCTTCACTGCAAAAATAGAAAGCTTATCTTTGCAACAAAGCAACAGTGCCTACATTTTTGTTTTAATCTGAAGATATAAGGATATATGTTTATTTTATTTTTTTTTTTTGATGAAGGGAAAATCCAATGAAACAAAGTCTTCTTAAAGATATACAGTCAGTACAGACAGATATAAAGTCTCCTCATAAGCTCACATCCTGGGGTGGGTGTGTATAGCAATAATAGTGTACATAGATACAAACAATATTGTTTAACAATTTTCAAGTAAATGTCAGTTGACTGCAGTCTCACTATTGTTATGTCAAAAATCTATATAATGACAGAATGTACTAAACCATTCTTCATTGTTCTAAATAAATTGTCTTTAAATCACTGTTGAACATTTGTTTCCTTTCATTTGAAATTAATATTAATACTACTCATACTCATACCAAGTGAATTGACAAGGGACTGTATTTCAAGTTTTTCTTATACAATACAGCATGTTGGGGGAAAAAGATTATTAGTAATGGGGTCTAACTGCCCCCTTGTTAGTAATATACCCTCTCTTCCTCCACACAATTCCCTCTGAAAACTATCATGGTTAATGTTGAATTTGTCATGCTGGGCCAACTGACCTACTTCATCCTCATCTATCATCCCTTATTTACCCCTCACCCTTCTTCCCTACCCCCAGTGTATACCAATAGCGCAGGCAAGGTCACTATTTCATTTTCACTCATTAAAAAAATATAGCATCTTGTGGTCTGTGTAAGTTACCTCTTATGATATCTTGAGGATAAAAAGACAGTTGTGCTAGCTTTGTATTCCTGCTCTATCAACTTTTATAACTACAATTTATTTAAATTAATTAACCTAATTACAGGTGCCAGAAGAAATCATGATAATTTAGGAAATAGACATAGTTTTAGACGAAATGTTTTAAGGAACTGCATGCAGTCAACAAAACAGTATAAACATATAAACAATAATAATAAAATTATATCAAAAGATGGTAATAATTTGTTGCCAGTTTTTGAGAATGAGAGAAAACTTAAACCGTTTCAAGGAATTCAAGATTTAGATATGCATAGTGATACAAATGAGGAAACAGAAGAGTCAGATAACAATTTTTCAGAAGATGATGATATGGAATATTCTAATAAAAATAAAGACATTACTCATAATAATGAGCCGGTAGTCTGTAGTGCCTTGTCATCTTTAATATGCAATTATGAATCTTCTGATGAAGAAGAGAAAACAAACAACGAAGTAAAAATAGAAACTTTAACATCAAAGAACAGTATTGAATCTCAGAAAAAAATTACATGTTTAAAAATACTGGATGTTAAAAATACAACAGAAAATAATTCAACACATCCTAGTGATGATACAATTGATAAAGGAAATAATAGTGATTGTGATAGTGGACCAGAAGAAGTGAAAATTGAAAGAACTACTATTAATGATACAAACACTAAGCAGACCGAATCTGTTTGTAATAAAAAATATTTAACAAAAAGGAAAATGAATGCTAATGAAACTAAACACAAAAGTTACTCTAATAAGAAACCAAAAATACCTTCAACACTTCTTCAAAAACTACTTAGTAAAGAAATACAACATGAACGTAACATAGTTTTACAATGTATTAGACATATTATAAAAAATGATTATTTTGATACATAAATAATAAACAATAAAAACAAAATATTAGTGATCTATATTTCTTCCTCCAAACTCGGATTTTATATATATCTGAAACTTAATTATTATTATTTGTTAAAAAATGGTGCTAACCACAAAATAATACACTCGAGAGCAATGAATGCGGATCACCTAAAGAAACCTATAAATCTTGGTAACTAAAAATGCTAGCTTAATAAAATAAACGGTGTTTAATAGACAATGTAATACCTCTTAACTGAAAGTAATAAAATTTATAAGTCACTACATTTTATTTATTAAAAATTACATAAAGAAAAAAACTGCTGATCTCGCCTTAAAACAAAAATCGGAAACATTGCATTTTTGTACAACAATATGTATTTTCTTGAACCTTAATACTTTGTCTCTTTGTTAAACTGTAAGAAACTGTAATCGTATAAGAAACTTTGTGTACAGCATGTACACCAAATTTCTTATACGATTTTGGCATATATTTTCCAATTCCTCTGTGAGAGCAATTTTGAGCTCACGAAACGTGATTGGGGGAGAGTTTCGTTGTTTTACGCATCTCTCTTGCTCGTCCCATGCATGCTTGATCGGATTGATATCCGCGCTGCGTGCTGACCATTCCATACGAGTAATATTCATCTCTTGTAGGTAGTCATTCACAATGAAACCTGTATGAAGTCTGGAATTGTCATACATAAAAATAGCATCCTCACCCAAATTGACCATAAATAGTCCAACGTGTTCATTAAAGATTTCTTCCACATATCTTACGCTAATTAAAGATCCGTTTTCTATGAACACCAGTTCTATGCGACTCTCAGATGAAATTCCGGTCCACACAAGTACAGACTTAACACTGTAGGCTACTTTTTCTTATATGCATGCTTTAATCTTTCCCCTCGTCTTCTATACACTCTGTCTACCATCGTGCTTGTAGACTTGTAGAGCATAAGTTTTGATTCGTCGGAGAACATAACTTTCGACTAATCTTCAATAGTCCAATTTAAATGGTTCTGGCCATATCTTAATCTTGAAATATAATCACCACATTCCAGTTTAGGCCCATTTACAGGTCTAAATGGTTTCAAGTTAACTTCAGCAAGTCATCATCTGACTGTCCATTCGCTTGGGTTACTTACTCCGAGGCGTCAAAACCGATTTGTAAGTTCAGTTCCTGTGAAAAAGCGATTATGATGCATGGTGTTCACCAAGTATCCATCTTCTCGTGCTGTGGTACATCTAGTTCTGCCTGTTCCTGGTCTACGTAGGTTAGAGCCAGTTTCCTTGTAACATCGGAAAACTGTACTGTTGACACACCGACAATCCTGGCTCTATCGCGCTGACTCCCGACGGTTTCCAACATTGTGAGGATTCTGGTGCATTCTTCAGTTGTAAGCGACATGATTACAGGTTAAATAATAAATATTGAATACTATCAATATCGTTTATATACCCACTTAAATAACAAATTAGAAACAAAAGCAAAATCAAATGCAGTAACTTCGTAGTTCCATCTTCGAAAGTCTCCCTTTTTCAAATTTGATTTTTTTATGACAAACTTGCAGTAACTAAGAAGTTTTAATACCTTAATTAATGAGTGTTTAGTTGTCTACTAAACCCAATTTATTTCAATAAGTTAGCATTCTTATTTTCCGATATTTATAGGTTTTTTTAAATGACCTGAATTCTTTGCTCTCGAGTGTACATAATTTTTAATCTTATACTATCATTATTAATATTAGTTTCTTTTTAACCGACTTAAAAAGACGTATCTTCTTTCTTTTAGGCTTGTCATTAATTTTTTTTTTTTTATTTCGTATAAAAACGTCATCTAGCAATAAAATTTGATCAGTATCTCACTCTCCGTCTATGTAAGAGAGCGGAATGGTACAGATCGACGTCATTGGCCACAATCTTGGGCTCCCTTCGAGAAGTTCGTCGTCAGCATGGCGAGCAGAAAGTTAGCTGGTGCAGACGGCGGCCCGTACCTCCACCTGAGAAGCCTTGCTCCGCTACATGTACTTTTTCCAGACGGCCATCTCACTCAAAACTAATATAGGGAGGCTTTATAAACGCAGTAGAACCCAAATGATTTTAAAATTTGTGTGTTAGTCTGTATGTACTTTTGTGCACGCTAATCTCATTATTTTCATTGTTTTATCGGTTCATAAATAAAAAAGTTATATCAATTTAAAGATCAACATATAAAATTAGTTGAATTGACGCAAAACCCTTTTTATGTATTGATATTTGAAAATTCTGTTTACTCATACGAAGCCAGGTCGGATCACTAATAATTATTATATCTATATATGTAAGGGGCTGTCTTTGTCAATTTTTGAGTCGATATAATCGATTAGTCTGACAATTATTGGCAGCCTCTAAGGAATTAAAGTTAAAATTTGTAGATACGTGTTATTTTAATTTGTGAAAATTATCCTATTCTCTCTCGTTCTGTATTGTGCAAATTGTGTGTGTTGCCAATCTATATACTCTAGGTTTAGTTATAATTATATTGGATTGATACTAGTATAGTACTGTGATATGGATACGATGTTTAGTACCCACAATCATAAAGCTCTACTTATTTTAGGATTAGATGGTGCTGTGCAATAGATCCAAAGGTATTTATATACTTATTCGTCTATCATTCAAAAAAGCCTTTATTGCGAGTAATCGGTATTAGCGGTAATAAAATGCAAATATATATTTCAGATACTTTTATTTATAGTCCAAAATATTTAGGACTGCGGTGCGGCTGCAGGTGCGGTCGCGGCTGCGGCTTCCTCTCTAATTCTGTCCTTTTTGAGAGTACCCATAAAAGCAGCCTTGTCAGCAGGCGTTTGGAAGCGACCATGACCAAATTTGGATGATGTATCGATAAACTTGAGACTTATCTTCTCAAGAGCGGCCCTCTTTGTGTGCACTCGCAGAGACTAAAAATTAAAATAAAGTACATATAAATCATTTAAATAATTGAATTTTAGAAATTAAATTAACAAGCAACTGTGACATGTCGTATCTTTACAAGCTTTTATGATACAAGTTACTGTGATTGTCAATTACCTTTCTTAAAGTAATAACTCTCTTTTTCGGTCCCATGCAGCAGCCTTTGATCATAACAAAGTCATTGTTAACCTCACCGTAATGGGGGAAACCACCCATTGGAGTGATAGATTTCTCAGACAAGTCATACTCAGTAGAAGCATTGTTCTTGATAACCTTTCCATCTTTAGTATGAATTCCTATAACAAAGTAATTGAAAAATCAAATTAATATAAAGAAAATTCTCATTACAGTTTAGTCTATAAATTAAAAAAAAATATTCCTACATTATGTCGACATGAACAAAAATTTTGTAATATCCCAAATCTATTTCATCAGGGTAGTGAAGAATAAGTTTGATATATCCCTGCATTAAAACCTGTGGAATCTTTTACATATACTAATCCATTTACTCTCAAGTGGATATGGAGACAATGTGTCAAGTCAGTATTGAAAAAAAAACTAGTCTTATTTACCAGCTGTTCAGCTATTAGTACTACAATAATTTTTTTTTATAAAATTTCATTGTTACTGTAAGTACTCATGTTCTATTGTCACATTATTATATGAACGATCTTAAATAAAATCAGTTTGAAACTGATAATATAGTTACATGAAAGGAATAAGAAATGAAAATAGTGAAAAATTACTAGAAATATAAGGAAGAACTGTTACAAATACAATAAATTAAGAAAAGTTGATGATTATTAAGTATAAATAATCTCAATATTCTACGAAAATGCTCTAAAATTAATCAATGATCAAGTTTCCCTTTTATACCCAGTCCAGTCAAACAGAGTTTAATATAAAAAAAGTAATTATCTTAAGAACATACCTTGTCCAATGCGGTAGATTTTCTTATTCATCTCAGTACGATGGTGGTATCCCTTTTGACCAGCACGAGCAACAGTAAATGACACTCTAGACGGATGCCACGCACCGATACAAGCGACCTTACGGAGACCCTTGTGGGTCTTGCGTGGAAGCTTACGAGTGTGCCAACGAGAAGTCACACCTACAAATTTAAAAAGATATATATATATATTATCATGTCATACCACAATCATATCTGTAAAGCTACAGAATAATTGTTAGAACCATATCAAAATCTATTTAAAAAAGTAGCAATAATGAAATTCAGTAAATGAGCATTGTTGAAACTTGGGTTTCATCCTGATAAAATAGATCCAGTACAGTAACAAAATTAAAACAATAAATGACATTACATACTGTACATATATAAAACTAACTAGACTCATGTATACTGTATAAACTAATACAAATTTTGATAAAATTTAGAAAGTACTTAATAAATGAATCAATAATTAGAATACTTTTTCAAATTAAAAGTACAGTTGTCTAAATATTACATATTCATTTTTAAGTCAGTATGTAAAAGTAAGTATATTTCTTAGTACCTTTGTATCCTTTCCCTTTAGTGACACCAATGCAATCTATCATCTCATCTTGAGCAAAAACAGAGTCTACTGGGATTGGTTTCTCCAAGTGTTCTCTAGCCCATTTCACTTTATCCTCAATGGATCCACCATTAACTTGAATCTCCATTATGTGTGCTTTCTTTTGGCGTTGCTTCAACAGTTTCATTTGAGTGTGGGCAATGATTCTGATAACACTACAGTAGCGTATCATCTTCTTGAAGTCTTTCTCAATGGACTTACGTCCAAGTTCATCTTGCCACTTCTTGCTAGCCTTAGTAAAGGCCTTCTTCTTACATTTGTACCTAACAGATTACAAAAAGCAGCTACTGTAAGAAAAACCAAATAGCCTCATCGTTGAGCGGAGACCGTTTGGTAACAAACATGCTTGTTGCATGTTTTATGTTAACTCTCATCTACTGATTGGAGAGTTATTTATAATAGTTAGTAATAGAATCAAATACTCAAAAATCAGTCATTGATAACTAAAACAAACTTAATGTGAATTAAATTTAGTATTTGGATTGCCTTGAAATCTTACCAATTCTTGTAGAAACGACGGCGACAATCTTCCGACATATGCTCTGCCCAAACCGTAAGCAAAGCACGGAGACCATGAGGAGTATCAATATAGCCAACAACTCCTACACAGACCATAGGTGGGGTTTCAATTATGGTCACAGCCTCCACAATCTCCTTCTTGTTGATCTCTAAAGTATAAATGGGAAAACATTATAATTTTTACAATAATGAGTAAATTACATATTAGAGTATATATTGCTGTGACAGTCTAGAAAACTAGAAAATATTTACATGATATTGATTCTCAAATAGATGTAACACCAATCATAGCATTACATCATATTAGTAAAAAACCCAAAGTGGGTCTTTCACTGAAGCTTCATATTCAATTAATATTGTAGTCTTTGAAAAGGATCTAAGAAAGAAAACAACATTAAATGTGATCCCAGCATACAAAAGGGCCACACATTCCTTTTCCATGGGTGTTTGTAAAACAAAAAACAAATAAGAAAATGAAATAAATAAGAAATGGTTGAAGGATGAGCAGTAGCATCCCTCTTAAAACGTCAACCACTTTGTTGACGTTTTAAGAGGGATGCTACTGCTCATGCTTCAACCATTTCTTATTTATTTCATTTAACTGCAGGTGGCAAAGATGGTAACTACTAGAAAAACCCTCCAAGGGGAGGTCTATGTTCAACAGTCGACAGTTAATGGCGGATATGTTGATGAATATAAAATTAGAAAATCATATTCATATGTACTTACTTGATCCAGGACGGTCTGGTTCACGGACCACGTGGGTCATACCAGCTTTATAACCAATGAAGGCCGTAAGGTGTACTGGCTTGCTGGGGTCATCTTTAGGGAATGCCTTCACTTTGCCACGATGACGACGGGACCTCTTCTTGGGATAGAATCCCATAGAGCCATGGCGAGGTGCTGAAAATTTCCTATGCGACTGAAAATAAAAACAATATATTAAATATTGAAAAAAGAAAGATTAAAACTACTGAACTATTAAAGGTGCATCAGTCCGCCCTAGATAAATCTTCACGTGTATTCAGGTTCTAACCGTATAAATAATTCTAGTGTAATCATCATTTGCAAGCAGTTTATAAAAAAATATTTATAAAATAAATCAAATGTTACTAATTTACATACTTTAATGAATGGAATATATAAAAAATTATTTAGATTGCAGACTAATAAAATGATTAAAAATAAATATTAACGTACCATGTCGGGGGACAATCGCGATGAAAATGGCCGATCGATACGATATTTTTTATGACATGACAGCTAAGCGGACAACGTTCTTTGAAATAAAATGTCAAAGTTTTCAATTGACATTGACAGAAAATAGAGATGTCGAATTAAGTTTCTTACTAGAGTTAACACGAAATACTAATTTGAACACTAACTCTATGGAGCGTAAAAAATTATTATTGTTCGTTATTCGTCATTGAACTTAAAAAATGTTTTTGATTTCCGCGCATTGTTTGAGAAAAGTACTATATAAGCCTTGGCCATAACTAGACACTGATGGACTCACGTATGTATGCCTCGGCTACGCCTCGGCCCATATTTGCATGTTCGTCCATCAATGCCTCAATCAGTTGCTGGCTGCTACTGTAATGTACTATAACTATATTAATTATAATTATTGTTGACTCACCGGTTCAAAGCTATTGTAAATTAAGCTAAAAAGTCGTTTCTTCGTGTTGTTATATCATACAGAACATAAATTTATTTGTATTTTTTTTTTATTACTAATTAATTTATCCAAACTAATATTAAATATATAAATAAAAAAAAAAGTGAAGCGCTCTTTTTTATTGTTGTTCATTATTTAATGAACAGTTTTAGCTTTGTATGTCATATTTCTTTTTATTTTGACGTGTAAATTACGACAATATATATTTAATATTAACTTTATTATAAGATCTACATTAGAAATTGACCAGATATTATGAAAAGTATTAAAAACTTGTGTTTACGATCAATAATATTATGAAATTAAGATGTTAAGGTAATATTCCTATATATTTATCTTTTATTTTATTTTTGCTAAAAAAATTTTCATCGAAACATTCAATTTGACATAAAATTTATATATTTCTTTTATCACATTACATGAATTTCTACTATCAAATTATAATATAGTTATAATCCCATTTTTTTTTTCATTTTGAACATCAAGCTGGCCAACATAACGAGAAAAGGGAGATTTTTTGTATAGGTTGGTGAGATTTTCCTGACCAAGTTGGTTTACGTAGCTTGTATGGAGTGCGGCCTCTGTTTTTTTAATTATGCATTTCGTAGTCTCTGTAATTTGAAGTATATTTTTTTATTATATACTGTTTTTCGGTATCCATCATCAAAGTTATTGAAAATACGATTTTGTTTAATTATTATATTGTTCATAGCTATATTATTCCATTCGTAGTCAACGGACCATCTATTTAATTTAGATCACAATAATTTTTAACTATATTAAAAACTATGGGTGGACCGATGGAAAGAATTCAAGTTCTTGATGAAATTGAAAAAGACATAATAACTTGTTTACAATGTGCAGGTAAAACACTCTGTATATTATTCATTTGTGATCATGATTTGGCTATAAATTTAGAATTTGTTTTATCATCATCATCCTTCAATAATTTTCTTTTTTATTGTATGATAACGGAATAGTAGGCCAGTTAGCGCTATTAGAATATATTAGCGGGGTACTAGTGATTGATGATTAGTGAAGATGAAAGCAGTTAATTTTTGCCCATTGTTATGTATTCACAAAAATTAACCGTGATGATATCCAGGGTTACTGCGCGGAAGCTTATCTAAAAGGTCTATTGCTAACATTGGGCATTAGTCCTCAACGCTAATAATCTTTCCCTCCCAATAACATATATTGTTAACAATAGGATCACTAGTTCCATGCCTACTAGACTAAGAATCCAATCTTCTCCAGTAGTCCATAGACATAGGCTTAGATTTGTTTATTTAATTATGTTTATTTACAGCTCAAGCACTGCTAGAACTAAGTAAGGAAAAATCAGGCCAAAAACAAGCTGAAACTAATACATCACAATTTTTACGAACTCTCAATCAAGTTGAATCTAAGTTGAGTGATCAAATTAATTATTTAACACAAGTTTCAACTGGTCAACCTCATGAAGGATCAGGATATGCTTCACAGAAAGTGTTACAGATGGCTTGGCATAGACTGGAACATGTAAGGTCCTGGGTAAATGAACTAGATCGTCTTAAAGCATCTCATTTAGCTGCAGCAAATAGATCAACACAGGGCAATGTGCATAATGGTAACATGACATCATCTGGAACCAGTACATGATATTTTTAAAAGATATTTGATTCAAATTAATTAAGAATGTCGTATAATCTCTGTCTAAATATTAATTGTCAAAACTTACCTGGCCTACTGATTATAAATACTGCATTGGACTGTTTTAGTTTAATATCAAATTTTAATTTGTTCTGATTTATTACACACATATCTATGTAAAGGTTAGTATAGAAGCTTATAGACAAAATTCAAATATCAAATCAGTATTTTTTTCATAGACTAGTATAATGTATGTGTCGTAGATATTATGTAATTGAGCATATAGTCTATTTTAATAGACTTAATGAAAATGTAAACAAATAATTAATTGATCCGACTATAAGACATTTTATTTATGTTCAATAATGTTACAAATAAAAGATTAATTAATTAAATGTTTTGATTTTTTTAATTCTATTTTCTGGATTCCATTCAGAATGTGATAATTACAACAAATTAGTTTACCTTTTCATTAAGTTCTATTGATATACAGCAAGGCAGTCCAAAGCAGTTACAATCTCTGACCAATACAAATCACAAAATAGATTTGAAGGCTGTTCTAAGAGGAGTAAGAAAAACAATACTTTTCCTAACTTTTTAAAGAAAAAATATAAATAATTTTAATTCTCCAAAATAATTTTATAAAAGGACAATTTACATATTTCTGAGAGATCAAGAACATGCAAGTTTGTAGAGTCAAACAGCTCTGAGATAGACTATAATTTCAGCATATAAACAATCCATAAAATTATCAGAAATGAGATAATGATACCAAATTATGAAGAAATTTTATACACCATTTTTTATTTTTATTCATGACTCTTGCTCTTTCTCCTCAAATCCACATATTTTTTAGAATAAATCTAGGTTTTTCTATATTTGTTATATTTTTACTGTCTAGGTGAATCCCTGGCTATTTTGTCGCAAGGAAATTTGATACATAATAAGTAATAAATTATAACATTGTATAACACACAAAGCAACTTTTTTTATGGAGGCTATGCATTATATTTATATAAAACTATATATTATTTATCTATTGTGTTACTTTTTGATAACTACATATATGTAATATATATTAAACTTTTATTTAAGTATAATTTGCCAATGTGAATCTGTTATATGTCACTCCAATAGAATTTATTTTAATAATATGTAATAAATAAACATTTTCTAAATTAGCTAAGATCTAATATTTTTTTATATATTTCTTATAAATCCTTGTTTAAGTCTCTATTACATTATTATATATGACATTGAGAGTACAGGTTATATATAGGTGCACCCTTTTTTATGGGGTCAGTCTTACTCTTGGGGTACTCTTAGTCTTAGAAAATGCCAATAAAAAAGGGTTGGTAATCTATACGTAACCCTCTTGCCGATTGCCATAAATATTTACGTTTCGGTGAGTCATATACTTTTTTGCCACCATGTATCTTAATATATAAAAATCCCATATTACAATAGTTGTTCACAATAATATCTGAAATTGCTCCACACCATATCAGCCGTGAATTGTTCACTGCTGAACATAGCCACTATACTATAGAGCAATGTAGGCATTGTTTTGCTAGTAGTAGGCGTAGCACGCCTAGCATTATGATTGGCAACCGCACTTGGTGACTATTTTACAGGAGCGCTGCTGCTCCTTCCTCGACCCTTAAGTTCCCTTAGTTGCCTCTTATAACAACCACGGGAAAGGAAACGATGGTCTATTCTATTTTCTTCTAAAATTGCTCAACCGATTTTAATGCTGTATTTTAAATTTATATTCTACACCTCTTAGACAAAGTATTTATATCTATTACAAAAAAAGACTCCACTAGGTGGCAGTAGGGGGCAAAACGTTTGCTAGGTAACCTACTTAGTAGTGCAAAATATTGTTCCCAAATTTCTTACTTGTAGTAAAACTGGAAAAATAATTCCATTATTCTTATCATAGTTTTTTTTTTTTTATAGGTGATAATGAAATAAAAATCCCACCTGCACTATTGGTATACGCTGACAGGGCACCAGTGAAGGATGATAGATGAGGATGAAACAGGTCAGTTAGCCCATCGTGACGAATTCAACGAGAATTGTTCACGATGGTTTCCAGGGGGAACCACGCGGAGGTTGACCTGATATTGCTAGCAATGGGGCTCCATTGCTAACAATCCCTTCCTCCCTCTTAGCATAGTTTAGGTAAAATTAATTAGGTAAACGTTTTTATTAGTATATATTATATATACTAATAAAAACGTAATAAATATAGTAACATATAATTATGTTACTATATTTATTACGTTTTCCGAATATCGTTATATTTGTAAGTTGTAATAATTGTAGTTTATTATGAATTTTTAGATTTAAGCTCTAGCGTATTATTATTATTGAAAGACGGTTCTTTTCAGACAGGAAAACCTGTGACACTGCGACGTTTCTAGAATCTTTTCTGTTCGCACTTTTTTTAAAGTTCGCTGCTTATTCTTATCAATGATAGAAATTTTAAGATGTTTTCCTGTAGTAAAGTTTTTTAGGTCCTCAGGATATAAAATGTGTTTTCCAAAGGAGATATACCGTTTATGTATAAGTGGGCTACAGCCACAAATTAATTGTTGCGATTCTTTCTCATTGTGACAAAATCTGCAAAAATTTTTTGGGCATAAGGCTAGTTGGATAATATGCTTGTTTAATTTGCAGTGTCCAGTGAGAGCCTATGTTAATATACCTACAATATTGTTTTTACTTAGTTTTATTGTTTCTTAGAGTAATATTCTGAAAACTCCTTAATCAGGGATTTGAGTAATTTAATCCTGGCTACTTCTAGCGTAATTCATTTTTTTTACCAGTATTACCAATATATGTAACATAATTATCTTGTATCTAAAGTAGAAACGGCCTTGGCATTTGTATTTTGGCTTTCTTTGTAGGGAATTTTGTCACACGTGTTGGCGCTGAATCAAATAATCTCTTAACTCGTGATTACATTTTGATACCATATCTAATGTTGTCATCGTAATAATTTAAAATTCTTTTGTTTGGATTAATTTATTTTTATACTCGTATGTATAGAAGTCGTTTAATTTATACATATATAAATATATAATGATAATCTGATTCATCATCATATCAGCCATTATCTGTCCACTGTTGAAGTTGCTCTTCCCCTGACTCCCTCATAGACTGCCATATGAAACGGCCCCGAGCCACCTGCATCCACTGACTTCCTGCAATACGTTTGAGGTCGTCACTCTATTTAGAGAGGGGTCGTACTACAGTTTGCCTGTACGGGTCACCTTGGTTCTTCGGAGATTTCGGATTCTATGACGTAAAGAAACATCGAGCATAGCCCTCTTCGTAGCTTGCTGAGCAATTTAAAGTTTGCATACGGACAACCGTGTAGGACTATGTTTCGGTTCCGTAGGTCACCACAAGTAACACTTACTAGTTAAAGACCTTTGTCTTCAAATTTTGAAGGGGTTTAAATGAAAAGATTTGCCATAGTTTTCCAAACGCTGCCCAACCAAATTGAATTCGTCAGTTGACCTTTTGCTTGAAGTTGGACTTACCGAATCGTATAAGTTGACTCAGGTTCGTCGACAACTCGCAATTATGACCGGCATAGATGTGACATAGACGTTAGTCATGACTTTAGATTTGTTCATGTTCATCTTAAGGTCTGCCCATTGAGGATGCATTATTGAAATCATTGAGCATATCAATTAAATCCTACTGGGATTCCGCCATAATTACTATATCATCAGCAAATTCGTTACGTAATTTTAATTTTTCTCTGTTATTAATAAAACACAAAGTTTGAACGAAAATTTATTGTAAACAAGTGAAAGTTATTGAGAAATACAAACAAAATACTTTTTTTTTATAAATTACCTTGTATTAAATAACGCCGATGTTCATTTCAGTGGTATTTCTTATAAATATGAGGCAGGTACACAGTCATATCATAGCACTATTAACAATACAATTGTAGTATTGTTTATTACTATACATAATCACTATTTTATAGTGTCATCATGTCTATCATCTATTTATGTTATATATTGTAATAATGATAGTTCTAATCAAATTTAAAATAATAGATTGATATTATGAAATTAGTATAAAGCATTTAAATTCTAACTACAATTTAATACCACTCACCCACAGTATAAAAAAAGATTTTGCATCTCTTATGAATGTAAATAATTTTATGGTGTATACATTTTTATGCCCTATGTTTACCTTTATAATATAATTTTAAATCTATAGGTAATTTATAAAAAAAACTTAATTAAAAAATATCTACCTCATGAGCAATGAGTAAGTCTACTATTGTTTTATAATGTGAAGAAAACATAAAATAATTTCTTCTAAATTTATATATTTTATATATTCAATCTATGAATAGACCAAAAGACAATGAAAGTATTTAGAAATTAAAACGTTTTATTTCATTCATATATTGAAATTACTTCTGCAACTATAACTGTGATGACTAACTGAATGTAATGAGTATCCATTTGTCTGATTTAATAAAAAATATGAGTATCAAAAATTAAGCAGTGTCAGTTGCTATGTATAATGTATGATTAAATTATACTATTTACATTGCACAGCATTAATCACATTTAACACAAATCTGTGCTATAAATAATGCAAGTCCATCCTGTATAATAAATAGATACATAATAATGATTCAATTGAAACTAAGTATTGTTGGGATCACTCCTCTTTTCAGCTCCGTTGATTAGCATTTGCTTTTGTGAATTTTTCAATGTCATCAAGTGATCTCTTTGCTTTAGATGATATGTCATCCATTGATTTCCTAGCAGTTGATGTTATATCATCAAGGGATTTTTTTGTATGTGATAAGAGCTCATCTGTACTCTTAGCTGCTGTGCTTGCAAGCTCCTTTATTTCAGAATCCAATTTACCAATAACCCACTCTATTGCTTGCCTTCCTTTTCCAGCGTTCAATGAAATTTTATTTGCTAATAAATCCTCCATGTAACTACTAAGGGGAACACCCTGAAAAGAAAAAACAATATTTATATTATCTTTATTTTCAAGTCTCTTTTTTATATATTTTTTAAACCTTGTTAAAGTTTTTGCAAATTTGGCAACACTTGCCACCTCCAGTGTTGTAGGAGGCAATAAGTTATATTTCTATAACTCCTTATTATCAAATGGATTGTCTTATTGTTACTGCATTTTTAAATGACTTCCGAAAGGAAGTGTTATTGTATTGTAAAATCTTTATTGTACATAATTTTTGGGCATATTATTAATGTGTCCAAAGATTTAATATACAATGTCAGATTTATTCAATAAAGAAATCCTAGAAAACTATAGAATGTTCAAAGGTAAAAGGTATTAAAATTAAGCAAATACAGTAAAAAGTAACTGTATAAAACATATACATAGATACATACATATATTCACAATTGGCTCAATATAATAGGAGTTTCAAAATAAAGTTTTATGACACTTGCTTTAAAAGATTTTAAAAATTGTGCCATCTTTAAGTTATTAGAAAATGAGTTCCCGAGATGTACAGCATGCACAGTTAATGCATAGTGTATGTCTTTTGTGACTATGTTATGCAATTTAACATTCTAAAGTAAAATATATATTTTGTGTAGAATCAATATATCACAGATATTACATATCATAGGTTTCTGTTCTGAGATAGATATAATAAATTTGTAAGGAGAGGTTTATTTTTGAGGAGATTTGAGGGGTTTTGATAAGAGCAATAGAAACCAAAAAATAATATTTAGAATTATTATGTCTTTATTCTTTATTATATACAAAAGACTATGTTTGTTGCAGCATAATGCAAAAACTACTGCACAATAAATGAATGCAGTTTTTCTTTATGCAACTTAGAATGGTAAACAAGCAACAATCCACCTGATAGAAAGGGACAACCATCACTTATAGTGAACATTAGCATGAAGTTAACAGAGTATACTTTCATAGTTGTATTATACTTAATATGTAGTGTATGTTTAAATGTCATCTAGAAGTGGTCTATTTTATTGGTTTTCCACATATAAGAATCACAGGTAAAAGCAAGTGTGTCTATAGAATAACTGATGGTTAATTGATATATTTTGTCATGATGCAGCGGGTTAAACAACATATGGAATTATACTGTTACTTTTAAATAATTAATAAAGGGGAAAAATTGCAATGTGCATAATAGATCAGGTTATTTGAGTGCAGCAATTATTTTACTTTTTTGTAAGAATTGTGGATAAAGCAAATGTATATGTACCTACAACTGTGGACTGCCTATTCTTTGGCATCCCATTAGATTAGATAGATAATGATATATATCATACACATCATCAGTACAATTAATCTATTTTCAATTAAAATAGATTATTGACAATAATACAAATAAGTTTACTCACTTGTACAGTAACTACTGCTTCTTGTGTTAAAAGAGTCTTTGAAGGATCAGAAGGATGCGGAGTGTATTTGACAGTTTCATCAACAGCTATATAATGGCAGAATGTTAAATTTGTGGTTTTAAGTGTCATCTGTCGTTGCATAGGATTTACTTCTGATTTTTCACTTGCATAACATATTTTGGCAGTTCCAATAAGCTGAAAATTATGAAATTATTTAGGCAAAATATTCAGTATTCATTATGAGACTTAGCACTATTACTTTATTCATGTCTAATTGAACAGTTTCATTAGTTTCTTTGAATATCAGTTCAATAGCAATTTGTTTGATTTTTAAATAAAAGTAATAGCTCAATATGCCAACCGAACAACATTAGAAACTATAAAAAAATATACATACTAAATACATATATATATATATATACAAATATATTAACAATGTCAAAAAATGCAATTAGTTCCTGAATTTTATTTTGTTCTTAAAAATTAAAGTAGTATAAGATCTAAAATATTACTAACTTTCAAAATTAGTAGCCGAATTATAGTATATAATATTAGTAGTAGTAGAATTGTTAGTTCAGATTTAAGAAATTTTGCAAATACACATACTGCAAAATTTCTTATCTTCAAGATTTTTTTTTATATAGATAACTATATTTGGAATGGAATTTGAACTTACCGCCTGTGCCCAACGCGGAAAAAACCATTTAGAACTGACGAGTCTGTGCGAATGTAGCACTCCATTAACAACCTTCCTTTCTACAACATCGGTCCCAATGACGGCTGGATTCATAGGATTGGGATATTTTCTCCATGCTGCCTGCGCAACTGTCTCCCATGGATGGCTGTTTAGAAAAAAACACTTAGTTTTAATAATTTAAGAAATCGCTACAAAATACAACAAATCGATTGCGTCATACTAACTTAAATGTGTGTTCTGATGTCCAAATCTTCATGTTAGATTTTTAACTATATTTTCTATATATAAAACAACTATAATGAGATATCTGTGAGTATCTCATTAATTCTTAAATATTTTATCTTTTCTCACATCACGTTGACAAAAGTAAAACTACTAAGTATCTCTCTTCATTAGTCGAAATCAGTCGAAAATTTGCGAAAAGTATTGATGACAGATTAGAGACTTCATTTTTTTTTTTTTTTTTTTTAGTACGTTTGTTCCGTTTGGAACAGGCTAAGGTCGGAGACCATGCTGCCTAGTCTTCAAAAAGATAATTTGTCTGGAATTTTATTTTTCTAATGTCGCTTCAATTATTGTCATAATCTTCAATATTTCATTTGTCAAATCCGGTAAGTACATTTTCATAAATATCTTTTCTTGAGTTTTCTTAAACCAGTGGATTTATCAAATTAAAAATAAATAATTATAAAAAATCATTGTCTTGCAATTCAATAAAAGTATTCTTATAGCTCCTTGAATGTTGTAGTAATATAAGTGAAAATAGCTTTGAAACAAGAAGGAAATCTTAAGAGAAGCGGGATTGAGTGCGGGATATTTTCGGGTTTTTTGAAGATAATCCTAAGTTCGTCAAACATAATGTGTCTTTGAATGACAAATTCAGAGCAATCAAAAAAAAGGTGATGTAGAGATTGGGCTGTATTTGAGTTACACCATGTGCATGATGGGGAAGCGATCATGCCCATTCGGTGCAGGTGTTCGTTGAAATGTCCGTGGCCGATTCGTAATCTACAAATATTGGTGTAAAATTTTCTGTTTGTGTCCTTTCCTTTGCAGAACCACGGTTTTCCAATACGCCAATTAATTTTGCGGTACCATTTGCCTTTAGTCTGTAATATTTGAGTCCAATGCTCCTCCCATTTAGTTGTAACGATTTTATGTATTCCAATACTACAATCTGAGTAACAAAGGGGTAAATCTTGAACACGAGCAGCACTTGAATTAATAATTTTAGCCAAAGTGTCTACTTGTTCATTCCCAAACACTCCAATATGTGAAGGGGTCCAGATGAAGATAATATCTTTTCCATATATAGTACAGAGATGATAATATTTATTACGAATTTCTTGAATTAAGTAGTTTGATGATGAAATGAATGTGTTATTTTTTAATGCCATAAGAACACTCATACTATCTGTAATTATAATCCATTTCGAATATAGTACCTGTTTTTCTATGTATTCTAATGCTAAAAATATAGCTTTTGCTTCTGCTGTGTAAATACTAGCCAAAGTTGAAATTTTATAACCGTGACCAAATCTATTTGACAAATCGTAAAAAGCCACTGAAGTGCTAAGTGCATTTTTGGAACCATCTGTATATATCTGCCTGTAGTCAATAAATTCTGATAAAGTCTCATACATATCGTGCTTTTCTTTTATGTCTTTACGTATAACAATTTTGATCTTACAGAACTTACTCTCATAAAGGCCATTATAACAAGGAAGTATCTTACTACTATAGATGTTATATTCATCTCGTAAATTCAAATCATTGACAATAGTTTTATTCAAAAACATAGAAATGGGGCAATTTAATAATTTGAGTATGAGTGGGTTATTGGAAACTGAAAAAACTTTGAAGAGAAATTTGAGTTTTAGGTATTCGAAACGAAGAAGGATAGGAGGCAAATTACATTCTACTTGCATTGAGATAATTGGAGAAGTATACATAGCACCTAAAATAAGTCTTAAATTCATATTTTGAATTTTTTCGAGTTTTTCTACTAATTTATGTTCTGAGGCATAACAAAAGAAAGCGTAATCAAAATTACTTCTAACAAGAGATTTGTAAAGTAAAAGGATAATTTTAGGATCAGCTCCCCAGTTACGACCAATTACAGATCTTATTATATTAGTGGCTCTTAAAGCACGATCTACTAAGCAATCAACGTATAGATCCCATTTTAAATTTTGATGAAAAATTACCCCCAGAAATTTAACGCTACAGTCTGTTGGAAGAGTTTGATTATTATATATAATATTCATTAATGGAACATATTTATGAACTTGATGAAAAACAACTACTTTACTTTTGGTTAAACTAATATCGAGGGAAAGAAGAGAAAAATATTTCTCAAGTCTTTTTAATGACTCATTTAACACTAATTGCATATCAATAATATTCTTTCCTTTTATATAAATTAATAAATCATCGGCAAATTGCAAGTTGTTCACACTGTTTCCTAAAATTGAATTAAGTTTATAGATATATAAAATATATAGTAGCGGGCTTAAAATACCACCTTGACATACTCCTTTAGAGCTTAACCTAGGTCCTATTAATTTACTATTTACTTTAACATACACTTCTCTATTACTAAGAAAATTATAAATCCATTCGATAAGTTTCATTGGAAGAAATGAGGATAGAATCGAAGATAGAACTGTTAAATTTACATTGTTAAAAGCTCCTACGACATCTAAAAAAACAGATAGAACATATTCATCGTTATTCAAAGCAGTACTAAGGTCGACATAGAAGTTCGCTAAACTTTCGCGCGCTGAATATCCACGGCGAAAACCAAATTGATTCGATGGTAATATACTATTACTTTCAATAAAGAACTCTAAACGCTGTTTAATTAATTGTTCGAATAATTTGCCTGCACAGGACGTCAATGTTATAGGTCTATAGGAGTCGAAATTTGTAGGATCTTTACCGGGTTTAATTACTGGAATCAAACAATCCATTTTCCATTCTGGTGGGATAATACAGTCCTTCCATAAATCGTTAAAAATTTGTAAGAGTTTAGTAAGGTTTATTTTATTCAGCAATCGAAACATATTGTATGTTAAGCGATCAAGGCCACTAGCTGTATCTTTTCTAGATTTTACTGCACTGGATATTTCATCAATTGAGAATGGGTCAGTGAGAAATTTTGGGCATGAATTAACAGAATTAAACTGTTTGTCATCAAAAGGTGAGTGTACAAAATCAGGAGTATATTTGCGTAAAAAATCATTGACCCATGATATATCTTTAAAATGATTTTGACGATGTTTTGAATTTAGTTTTCTCATATTTTGCCAAACAGTGGAAATTGGTGTTAATCTATTAAATTTGGAACAAAATTCCTGCCACCCCTGTTGTCTTACTTGCTTAATTACTAACTTTTTAACAGCTTGAACTCTTTTAAAATTTATGTAATTATCGAGAGTTGGATTTTGTTTAAACCTAAGGTAAGCCGCTTTACTATCATTGACAGCTGTCGCACACCTGTTATTCCACCAAGGTACTGCAATATGTTTGTGCCTCTTTGAAGTATTTGCACCGCTATTTGATAAGTTCCTACGTGGAACGGAACGTTCCACAGCTGTCAAAATAATTTTACAGAACCTATTGTAATTGTTTAAGGGTTCATTGACATCATACTCGAAATCCAAAAGTAATCGATTAACAGTTTCAGAATAAAGATCCCAATTAACGAGACGTAGGTTTATACGATTTAACAAAAGTTTATTAACTTCATCTATAGGAGCATGTTGTTCACCTGACGGAGTTGATGAAGAGTTCTTTGTGTTTATTTTAGTAAAAGTCGGCAGGTGATAACTTCCTAACGGATCATCATGAACCGACCACTCGCATTTTAATGATATGGATGGGGATACCATAGTTAAATCAAGGCCATTGGGTCTCCAAATATGAGAGCCAACAGTAGTAACTTGCTTATCATTTAATAGTACCAAATTACATTCATCTAAACAATCAAGAATGTCTTTACCTCTTGTATTAGTGGAGGTACAACCCCACATAGTATGATGTGCATTTAAATCTCCAGATATGATAGTGGGTTTAGGAAGAGACTCCAAAAAGAACTTAAATTTGGCTTTAGTAAAACTAGGTGTACTATTGGTAGGACAGTAAATACTGGCAACTGAATACCAAGAATTATTAACTTCAATACTAATAGCTATAGTTTGCAAAGAATTGTCGAAAAAAGAGTGAAGTTTTTTATATCTAATACTATTATGTATAATAATCGCTACTCCATTGTGGTTATTACCACAATCATTTCATTCTATACAATAATCTTTAATTTTTAATTTGTAATGTGGTTTTAGCCAAGTTTCTGAGATGAGAGCAATGTGAATATGATGTTCATTTAAAAATTGTGTAAAAATATGTCGATTGCTCAGTAGGCTCTGAGCGTTCCATTGTATGATAGTTAATTGGTCTCGATTGAATTTTGTGAAATAGGTCTATTACCAAAAGTATCATATAACACATTCAAAACACTTTTAGTGTTAATAGATGTGTTCTTTGTGTTATGTAGTGAAATAAGTTTGATTATGCTTTCTATTAAAAGTGATAAACTCTTGTTATCAGAATTTAGAATTGAAATTAGGTCTACATTTTTTTTAGGTTTGTTACCCAGTTTAGGAAATATTTCAGTGCTAAGTACATCTCCAAAAGAAGCAGGTCTGAATTTAGATCTATTTTCAGCAATTTTCTTTTGTTTAACAGGGCATTGCGGTGATACACTTGTGTGATTTCCATTGCAGTGTACACAAATAGCGTTTTCCATTCCAGTTGTACAAGTTTTATAATTATGCTCACCTTTGCAGATGCTGCAACGCTCAGAATTCTTACAGAATTTAGCTAAATGTCCATACCTCAAGCACCGGTAGCATTGTTTAACTGGTGGTATATATGGAGTGACATTGTGGCGCCAACCTCCAATATCCAGATATTCAGGTAATACAGATGCAGCAAAAGTAATTGTCACGGTTAGAGTTGGCTGTAACACATATCCATGAGTCAAGGTATTTTTTCTTAAAATTCTTTTAATAGCAATAATTTTCTTAGAACTCGATATCATAGTATATATTTTTTTATTAGATATATTTGTAGGTACATTTCTAATAACGCCTGTAACTTCTGTTGAAGAAGCAGGAATACTGGCCTTAAAATGGTAGTCATTTAAAAAAGTTTTATTATTTAAAAAAGCATTGGCTAAGTCTGGCTTTTGAAAGTATACTCCGATTTTGAATTTATTTATAGATCTAAGATAAGTTACCCCTTTATTAAATCGTTTTAAACAGGAGGAGAGTGAGAGCAAGTCTCTGGATCCAATGGTTTTCTGACTATCTGAGGATTCTACAAAGACAACAAATTCTGTCCCAGGGGATTCCTCGGGATATCTTCTAATATAATCTGTGACGTAG